GGGCCCACCCTCATCCCGTACCTTTCAATACTTTTGAAACTATTGAAACTATTGAAACTATTGAAACTTTCAAAAGAGGGAGGGCAGGTTTTCAATAGTTTCAAAAGTTTCAATAGTTTCAATAGTTTCAAAAGTTTTAAAAGTTTCAACAGGTACGGGATGAGGGTGGGCTGGGTTTCAATAGTTTCAACAGTTTCAATAGTTTCAATAGTTTTAAAAGTTTCAACAGGTACGGGATGAGGGTGGGCTGGGTTTCAAAAGTTTCAATAGTTTCAAAAGTTTTAAAGGTTTCAAAAGGTACGGGATGAGGGTGGGCAGGGTTCAATAGTTTCAATGTTTCAATAGTTTCAAAAGTTTTGAAAGTTTCGAAACGACCTGCCCTGCCCCTGCCCCTCCTGCCCCCGCCCCTTCCCCTTGTCTGTTTTTGGTGTGGGGGCAGCGAGGGCGCCCTACCCTGACCCTGCCGCTGTGGCTGCCCCTGCCCCTGCCCCTGCCCCTGCCCCTGCCTGGCCCTGGCCCTCCCTGGCCCTGGCCCTGCCCCCCTTCACTGCCTCTGCCCTCCCCTTCCTTTTTGTGCCACTCGTCCCACCATACAGGCCTGTGACGCCGGTTCAGGCCGAATTAAAGGGAACTTCCCCTTATTTGTTCGTTTCTGAAAACCGTATTTTCCCTTTGTGCTTTTCGGATTTCCCTTCCGATTCCCTTTCGAGTTTGGCTGGCTTCCTTGTTACCCAATCAAAATTCCCCTAGTTTCCCTTAAGGGTCGTCGATTTCCCTTACGGTTTCCCCTAAACCGTCATTGATTTTCCCTTTACATTTTCCCTCAGCTGTACAAAAAAATCCCTCTGTTTCCCTTTATGAAGTCCCTCAATCTTGTCGGTTGACGAGGAAATAACAGAAAGTTGTGATTCATTTCACGCACCGTTGCCGTATTGCGCGGCTGCATTTTCCGGAGAGTTTCCTTCACAAGCCTGGTGCTGTCGAAGCGCTGCGTTTTCCGACAATGAGGACAGTAAAGGGCGGTTCAATAGCACCAAATTTTCTAGATGGTTTCCCTTAGGAAAATCTGGCGCTATCGAACGGTTGCGTTTTCCAGACCTGAACACAGCTTTTCGATAGCACCGAATTTTCCGGAAGGTTTCCATAAGAAAATTCGGTTCTATTGAACCGTTTTGTTCTCCATTAAGATCTGGGGAGCCTCATCCCTTCTTCTTGAAGCGTACACTCCCTTCTGTTGTTTTGTTTGAAGAGCAAGAGGAGATAGTCTTCTTCCGCTTGCCGAGAGAGAAAGGAGGTCTCTTGTTGCCGACTGATGGGTAAACGGACCTCTCTTCTTTCTCGATGGCTTGGCGGGGTCTGTCTGTATTTGGGATTTGGAGCTCTCCTCTTTCTCGTGAACTTGGAGGAAGCTCTCTTCTTCTTGTTGTAGGCTGGGGGAGCTCTGTCCTTTCGTCCTAGGAGTGGGAGCCCTTCAGTCTTCTTCAAAGACAATGACGGCTTACCAAAAAGGTTAGGGAGGTCTCTTCTAGAAAAGTCTTCTTTCTCGTGAAGTTCGCGGGCCCTATCTGCTATTTTGAGATGGGGCCTTCTTCTTTCTGTTTATGATGGAGGAAGCTCTCTTCTGGTACAGGATGAGGTAGAGAACTTATAAGTTCTTGTGGAAGACTCCATATTTACTAGGACCAGGAGCGAGATGTCTTCAGTCTTCTTAAGATTAAGATGAAGACTTACCCAGAGGTCAAGGAGCTCTCTAGACAGAAGCTCTAATCTCGTACTAAGAATAACTTGGAGTGAGCTATCTTCCGGTTTCCAGAGGATGAGGTACAGGGCTTCTCATCTCCTTTTGAGGCCCCGGGGAGGACCAGACTTCTCTTGTCAAGTTTTTTGAAGTTGGGAAGAGCTCCATCCTTTTTTCTTGATTGTAAGCTCTCTCCATGTCTTGAAACGGAGGAGGGGGGGGTGAGGAGCTCTCGCCCCTGACTAAGAGAGAAAAGAGTTTTCTTCTTGTCGACAGAGAGGCAAGCAAAGCTCTCTTCCTTCTCGAGAAGTTAGAATGGCCTCTCGTCTGAGTTGTTAGGAGGCGAAATTGGAGGGAGCTTTCTTCTTGTTCTCGATGATAAGGTAGAGAATTCATACGTTGGTTTTGAAAGCGGGGGGGGGGCTCTGTCCTCTCTTGCTGGGAGCGAGGACTGCGAGGCGACTTCCAAGAGCTAATGGAGCTCTCTTCTCTTGCCACGAATAACTTGTCGGGGTCGCTCTTCCCGTTTCAATGCATGAGGTGGAGGAGTTCTCTCTTTCTTTTTGAAGATTCAGGGGCGGACCAAGCTACCTTGTTTGCAGGTTGAAGGGAACTCCACCCTCTCTTCTTGAGCGCATGCCCTCCTCCATCTTTTGAAGAAACCAAGTGGGCAATCAAGATCCTTTTCCCCTACCAAGAGAGGAGGTCTCTTCTTGGCGGCTGAGGGGTAAACGCAGCTCTCTTCTTTCTCGGTGGTTTGGAGGGGCCTGTCTGTCTTTTTACGATGGAGCTCCCTTATGTCTCAACAAATTGGAGGAAGCTCGCAGTGACCTCTTGTCGAGGATGAGGTGAGGACTTTTCTTGTTGGAAGCTAGGGCAGCTCTGTCCTCCCGCGCTAGGAGCGAAATCTTTTCAATCTTCTTGAATCGAAAACTCTCTTCTTGCTTTGGAACATGAGGTGGGGAGATTTACTTTTCCTTTTCGAAGGCTGGGGGGAGGACGAGATTTCTTTTTTTGAAGCCATTGAAGCCTGGGGAGAGCTCCACCCTTTCTTGAGCGTATGTTCTCTTCCGCCTTTCGTTGGAAAAGTAAGCGGAGTAGTCAGGATCTCGATCTTTCCCTTTGCTAGAGAGAAAGGAGGGGGTTTCTTGCCGACTGAGGGGTGAACAGAGCTCTCTTCTCTCTAGACTCTAGATAGTTTGGCAGGGCCTGTCTGCTTTTGTGAGATGGAGCTCTCTTCTTTCTCATGAACTTGGAGGAGGCTCTCTTCTTCTTTTTGTACGCTTGGGGAGCTCTGTCCTCTGGTGCTAGGAGTGGGAGCCGTTCATTCCTCTTCAGATAAAATGAAAACTTAGCAACAGGTTCAGGAATCTCTTCTAGAAAAAATCTTCTGTTGCCAAGACCAGCTGGGCTCTTTCCTTGTTCCAGAGGACGAGGTAGAGGGCTGCTCGTTTTGTGTTGAAGATTGAGAGGAGGACCGGACTCTTCTTACAAAGGTCAAGGGAGCTGTGTGCTCACTTTTTGAAATTAACTTTCTTCTATCTCTTGAAGGAAGGAACATGGGACGTCAAGGAGTTCTTCTCTCTCTTCTTGTCGATTAAAAGGCAGCGGGAGCTCTTTTCTTTCTCGTGAAGTTGGAATGGGCTCTCTGCTTCGTTGAGATGCTGCGGTGGAAGACCTTCCGGCAGATCTCTTCTTTTACGCATAGAGAAAACTTTGCCCATGACGAGGTAGAGGAGCTAGGTTCGTGTTTGAGACTGGAGGGGCTTTGTCTTGTTTTGCTTGGAGCGAGCTCCCTTCAGTTCGCTTCAGCGGAGACGGAGATTTACCAAGAGGTCAAAGAGTTCTTGTAGACAGCAACTGTCTTACAAGGTAGGTTGGAGGGAAATGTTTTCTTGCTTTGGAACATGAGGGAGGGGACTTGATTTGGGTTTTGAAGGCTGGGGGGAGAACCAGATGTCTCTTTTTGAGCTTGGGGGCCATTTCACCCTGTCTTGAACGTATGCTCTCTTCCGTTTTTCTTTTGAATAAGTAAACGGGATAGTCAGGATCTCGATCTCTCCCTTATCTAGACTAGACAGAAAGGAGGTCTCTTCTTGCCGACTGAGCGGCAAGCGGAGCTCTCTTCTTTCTCGATAGTTTGGCAGGGCCTGTCTGCTTTTGTGAGATGGAGCTCTCTTCTTTCTCGACAGTTTGGCAGGGCCTGTCTGCTTTTGTGAGATGGAGCTCTCTTCTGTCTCATGAACTTGGACGAAGCTCTTGGTTTCTTTTTGTCGAGGATGAGGTAAAGGACTTGCCTTCTTGGAAGCTAGGGGAGCTCTGTCATTGTGTAGCCACCGACTGAACATCACAGTCCACGAATAATGCGGATACATCCGGCTTATTCTAAGCGCAAGCACGGTGCTGCGCAGCGAGCTACCATAATCAGGGTTGGTTTTCCTCCTTGTTGAACGTTCTGTAGCCCCTGGCTGCACATCACAGGAAGCACATAGTCTCCGCACAGTTCTCGCCCGGTCTGCTGTGCGTAACATGGTTCTATGAAGTTCTATGTGTTACATGTTAGGGCATGCGCAAATGCTGATCCCAAACAATGTGTTCCGAATCAAGCGTGCAAAATGCTGTCGTCCTGATGGAAGGCTTTCCAGCCACTGACTGAGCGCCACAACCAGTATATGTTCTCCTAGAACATGGTATGTGGGCTATCATGCGAGGATATTTGCCAGTGTGTGTGTGTGGGTGCGTACTGTATGCTCTCACGTAAGCCCTTCCTGTAATATAGCACAAGGGACATGTCACATTATACGTAAAGGTTCCTGCCACATATATATATATATATGTCTTTATAAACATGTACTTGACCTTCTGTTTCGGATGCTACGGATATACACCGCTTGCACTCATCTGCCATCGGCATAGGCTCCACGCTTTCCATGTGTTCAGGGACACGCCACTGCAGCTGTGAACCCAGACAAGCTTACGGTTTGGGGTTCAGGGTGTAGGGTGAGCTTAACGGTTTCAATTACAAAACGTTTGTTCGAATTCGCAGCTCAGCAAGTTGCCAAGATGAGTTTGGCTTGCCGTGCATGTCGCGTGCTTCCAAGCTGTGCTTCCTCGTCTCGCAGCTTCGCCGGAGGTTGGTTCATCCTTAGTGACAACTTTTTCGGACTCGGTTTTTGAGAAGAACTCATTCTTTTTGAACAAGTGGTTTGTTTCGATTAAATTAGAAGTAAAAGCCTGAACTTCACGGATGTCCATGTTGCAGGTGCCGCCGCCGCATCGGTCTTGCGACAGCGGCCGCCGCGTTGGAAGCGTTCTTGGCCACAATCTTGTGGTTTCGAAATCAGGAGCTTCTGATAGAATTCCTCTTTTGCAGAGAGGCTTCGCATTTCATGTCATGTGTTTCCTTCAACTACTGAGTTTTGATCGGCATGGGTGCTTCTGATGAGCACAGGCTATCATCTCGTTGCTTCTGGAACTGGCTGTGCCGCAGCCAGCGAAACCTGGTAGCTGAATGAGTATGCCTTCCTTTTTTTGAACAATAGTACCGCCTATAGAACTGAGCACTGGCGCTTTTTTGTGCTTATGAACTCAGCAAGTGGGAGTTTCCGAAATTAGGGGTACCTTGTTTTGGGGTCCTTGTAATAAGGATCCTACTTTTTAGGGTACTATGTCAGGGTCCCTTATTTTCGGAAATTCCCAAGTAAGGAAACAGACGACGGCTATGCGCTCCAGTCTGACACTCCGACAAAAGCCGGAGGCCCGGACTTCCGCTGCCGCTCTTTGCGGTGTTTTTTCTTGGGTTCCCGTGAGCGTTTCTTAGGGATGCCTTTTTTTTCAGATTCTTTCATGTAGATGAGGGTCTATATGGGGTTCGATCATCGGGATATTAAGTGTAGAGGTTCTATTTCGCACGATTTTCAAGGGTTTTTGGATTGACGGGTCGGGTATCGTTGGGTCTTCTGCAACGTGTGCTTTCTTAGGAGGCAGTCAGAATTTCGATTCATCGGTTACGTTGTTGCACTCTCGGACATGCTTCAGGCACGGGCACTGCGCCGCAGCCAGTGAGATTCTCGGCGACGGGATCCTTTCATCCTGACTATAATCTTTTGGCAAGAAGGACCTTTCTCTTTGCCAGAAGCCGTGGCAAAGGGACACAGCCCAACTTGCAGCTAGTACGCGTTTGCGAGTTCAACTTTGTTAATGGTTTTGCTTGCAGGTTTTTGCTGTGGTGACTGCTTTGTAACTCGAGTAGTTTTGCCATTTAAACTTGTTGGTTTAGGTGCTGCTTTCACGATTCGCCGCGATTAATACTGATGTAGTTTTCATGAAAAATGCAATGTGAGTGGGTGTTATTATCATGAGTCGTATTTCCATTTGTGTCATTCTGTTTGTGTTTTTGTTTACGCAGGAACCCCGACCGCCGAAATCTCCAGCTTTCGAGAGCTGGTTCCAAGGGCGGATAAATGTTGGATCGTTACCCAAAACCCCTCTTAACAACCCTGAGGCCATAAACCAATATGACTGAAACCCTAAACCAATATGACTGAAAACCCTAAACCCCTATAGGGACCCGAAACCCTAAACCAATATAATTGAAACCCTAAATCACTAAACCCTGTCCTTTTCGGGTCCAGGCAATTGGATTTCGAAACCCGCAAGCTCTGAGTCTCGGAGCCCTAACTCCGCTTCTCGCAAACGTGGCCTTGTGCTAAAGGTGCAGCTCCTACTAGCAGCCTTGGTGGGCTGTGAGCAGGTGGCTGTTGTGTTTCGATTTCGGATGGGTGAGTGGCAGGCTTTTTGGCCAGAAGAATTTCAGCGGTTATGCTTTGCGCAGGCTTACCTTAACCCCTTAACCGCAAATCTATCCAAAATCCTAAACTTTTTCGGGCTGCGCCTGGCTTTGTCTGCGTCAGTCCCCAGCACTACAGTAGTTTGAAACAAACGTTTGTTGAACTGCGGCAACCATCACGACAACCACTGCCAAAGACCAATGCCAAGAACAAGGACGAGCACAAGAGCAAGAATACTAGCAACAGCAAAACATCAAGACAAGGAGCATTAGTAAGCACAACAGGACCGACAAATTTTACAAGAACAGTAAACAACAAACCTGACTCCAGTTAGAACTAGTATCTCGAACAACAACAAGAGCAAAGAGCAAAGAGCAAGGAGCAAGGAGCAAGGACCAAGGTGAAAGGACAAAATACAAGGAACACACAACAATGAACCACGACGCACATGCAAAACAATAACAGTAATCGTATCAATAACAGCCAATAACAACAGCACCAGCACCAACAGTAACAATAACACTGACGAGAATAATACCAGCGATAGCAACAACAATAGTAGCCAAAAAAATACTTATAACAATGACAACAGCAACTACGATAACAATGACAATAGCAGAAGCAATAGCAGCTTTTAAAGCAATAACAACATTAGCAACAACAGTTACAACAAGAAGTAGCAGTGTCAATACCAATAACACGGACAACTGACCGACACAACGACGAACAGTTGTAATCGCAGGAGCAAGGATAAGAACAAATTGATAACATTAAGCACAGTAAGACCAAGAGCAAGAGCAGGAACAAGAGCAGGAACAAGAGCCAGGGTCCGCAAGAGAAAAAGCAAGAACAAGAGCAAGAGAAAGAGCGAGAGCAAGAGCAAGACAAAGATTAAGAAAAGCAACAGCAACAGCATCAGCACCAGCACCAGCATCAACACGGTCACCAGCACCGGCACCTGCACCAGAGCCAATGCCAGTGCTATTGGCAGCAATGCCTTCAACGACAACAACAACAGCAGCAACTGCACGAACCAATTGAACAACGGTGACGTCGACGACGACAACGTCAACAACAGCAGCAATAACAACATTCAGCAGAGCTCGTGAGCAATGTAACCAATGATGACAGCCGAAACGATCAAAACACTGCTCTTGTAGCCTTAGCTGCTATGAGCAACAGGAGCACCGTTATGTGGCTAGGTTTTTTGCGTTTAAGGTCAGCAAGAAAAAGAGCAACATCAACAAGACGAAAAGAGTCAACACCAGGCGAGATTGAGCGAAGGAAGAGGCAACACCTGCAGAGAGCAGAACCACGGCTGCACCCAGGCGACGGCGCATTTTCTCGCCACGAAGCTACGGCTGCCGCCTATTCGGCGGATAGAGCTCCCCAGCCAAACAGTCTGGACTGTGCAGCTTTGAGTTCGGGGTCTGCAGGTTCGACATCCACGCAGAACGCGACGAGTGGGGTAGCCTTGCACCTCCCGTTGCGCGGCTGTACAGGGTCCGAGATTTTTTCCCATTTGCAGCATCTTTTGAGCCAGTTTGTTCAATGCGGAGGGCATGCCGGCATGCAATGTACGGTTGAGAGTATGACAGTATGTCACGAGCCAGGGTTCGTCCAGACAGGCAGCAGGTAGCAAGAGAGGCAGGAGCTTCAGTGTTGTCAGCTTTGCAGGTGTTGCTCTTAGGCTGAACAGAGCAGGTGACGGAGGCGACACACAGCCTTTTTGTACTCCTGGTCTCCATACCACCTCCAGTGCCTTGCAGGCTTCCAGTAGACTGCATGTGGAACAAGATTCAATTCGGAACCGGGCGACAGCTGCAGCACTCTTGCTCGCCAGTCAAACACCCCTAATCTCAGAGCCATGAAACATGCTGTGTTGGCTGCTGCACCCTGTAGCCCTGAACTCTTCATCCTGAGCCGAGACCCTCAAGGCGTTGAAATCCCAAGCAAGAAAACCCTAAACGCGAAACCCTGGACCCCCAAAATCCTAAACGCTAAACCCTCCGACCCCCAAACGTGCAAATCTTAAGCCGTAAACCCTAAACCTCTTAAGCCCCCGAATCTTAAGTCCTTAACCCAAGCCCTAAAACACCGAGAATCCTAAACCCTAAACTCTAAAGCCGCTAAAACCCCTAAAACCCCTTAACCCCCCAAACCCTCAACCCTAAACCCTAAAACCTTTAGATCCTTTAAAAGAACCCTCAGGGGAACCCTGAAAGGAACCCTAAAAGGACCCCAAAAGACCCTTAAAGCAAAATCCTCACTCAACCCCAAACCCTAAAACCTATAGATCCCTTAAAAGAACACCCAAAAGGAACCCTTAAAGGAGCCCTAAAAAGACCCCAACATCCCCAACCCTAAACCCCAAAATCTATAGATCCTTTAAAGGAACCCGTAAAGGAACCCGTAAAGGATCCCTGAAAGGAACCCTGAAAGGAACCCTGAAAGGAACCCTAAAAGGACCCTTAAAGCAAAATCCTCACTCAACCCCAAACCCCAAAACCTATAGATCCCTTAAAGGAACCCCCAAAAGGAACCCTTAAAGGAGCCCTAAAAGGACCCCAACATCCCCAACCCTAAACCCCAAAATCTATAGATCCTTTAAAGGAACCCGTAAAGGATCCCTGAAAGGAACTCTGAAAGGAACCCTAAAAGGACCCTTAAAGCAAAATCCTCACTCAACCCCAAACCCTAAAACCTACAGATCCCTTAAAGGAACCCCCAAAAGGAACCCTTAAAGGAGCCCTAAAAGGACCCAACATCCCCAACCCTAAACCCCAAAATCTATAGATCCATTAAAGGAACCCGTAAAGGATCCCTGAAAGGAACCCTGAAAGGAACCCTAAAAGGACCCTTAAAGCAAAATCCTCACTCAACCCCAAACCCTAAAACCTATAGATCCCTTAAAGGAACCCCCAAAAGGAACCCCTAAAGGAGCCTTAAAAGGACCCCAACATCCCCAACCCTAAACCCCAAAATCTATAGATCCTGTAAAGGAACCCGTAAAGGATCCCTGAAAGGAACCCTGAAAGGAACCCTAAAAGGACCCTTAAAGCAAAATCCTCACTCAACCCCAAAGCCTAAAACCTATAGATTCCTTAAAGGAACCCCCAAAAGGAACCCTAAAAGGAGCCCTTAAAGCCCCCAACACAGAGGTCACAGAGCCGCCGGCAGCCCTCAGCAGGCTACAGAGGCTCCCAAAGCCCGGAGAGCCCAATTTTCCGAAATGAAGGAATACCTTGTTATTAATGTTATTGTTCTTCTTCTTCTTCTTCTTCTTATAATTACTACTCTTTATTAGCATTATTCTTGTTATATAGATTGTGATTGTCATTGTTTTGAAGTCTTCTTCTTATTCTTACAACTATGTAACTATGTATTAGTGTTATTCGTAGTATGCATATCAATTAAGGAATATACCTCATTGTTGCTATTATTGCTATTCTATTATTGTTATGAGTAGTATCATGGTGATGATGATTATTATAAGTATTATGATTATGACTGTTGTTATTGGTATGATACTTATGATTAAGTCACAAGAGACAGAGGCTCCAAACAGCTTTTGAAATGCTCGGTTTCAAGAGATTGAGCTTCTGAATCCTCAAGAATCCCGGGTTTGGGGTTCAGGGTTCAGGGTTTTGGTTTCGGGGCCCAGGGTTTCTTAATGTTCTGTTGGACAGTTTGCAGGAAGAAAAAGCATCCGAAGCTCCGAAAGCAGCGTGGCTCTACGAGCCTTGCACTTCGCGGCAATTTACAATAAAGTAAGTACTAGTAGCTTAGTTACGGCCCCCACTCAGTAATAGTTGAATAATATTCATAATGTAGATATTTTAGGACCATTTAGGACGTTAATAGTAGCCCTATTATAGACTCTTACTGTATGGGGGCCGTACCCAGTAAGTAGCAGTCTTCCTCAGGGTTCTCCGTTATACTGCACAGTGCAAAAAAAGTACGGCACGATTCTAAGAAGGATCCTGAAAGGGACCTCGATTTAGAGAACCCATAGGCTCCAAAATTGGGTGTTTTCTAGGAGACCAAGAGCCCACTTTCTCTGCTGCCTGGGCGTAAAAAGCTAAGGCACCCGCATGTTCTCAGTAGAGTTGTGTAAGCCTATATTCTAAGCCTTCTGGTCGGCTAAACCCTAAACCCCTCATCCTTCCACCCTAAACCTCTAAACCTCTAGACCCCTGGACCCTTAATCCTGCCGAGAATCCCAAGAGTCTTCAGGATAACTGGCACGGCGACGGCACCTCGTTGGGAAGCTTGCGGTGAAGGGCCGTTTCGCTTCGGATGCCTCAATGCTGAGTCTGGGACGGTCCAGGTCTTCAGTCGGGTTGCATGTGTTGGGACGATGAAGCTGCGCTTGCAAGTCTGTCTCACCCACGGAGTCCTGAACAATCTCTCCGGCACCCTGAAGTGGGGGCGGGCTGTGATAACTGATAAGCGATCCCTACCCTAAACCCTAACCCCAAACTCCAAAACCCTAAACCTTAACCGCTAAACCATAGCTCCAAAACTTTAAACCCTAGCGCACTAGCTCAGGTCTTCACAGATGCCAGCGAGGAGCAGATCCGAGCCGTCGCTGCTGGCGTGAAGTTGCGGTGTCCTGTGGCCAGAGCCCTGGACTGCAAGGAGAAGAAGTGCCGGTTCCTTAAACCCTAGCATTACTATGATTGTTGCTGTTACCATTACTCTTGTCATGATAAGAACTGTACGGTACATGTTCAGGCCCTTCTCTTGCAGGATTGAGTTGGAATTCAATTTCAGCTTGGGGATGAGTCCTGATTCTGGCTGGCAGAGATTTCAGCTTCAGCAAAGATGTTTCCAGCGGCTGGCAGGGATTTTGCTCTATCTTTTCGGCAGATGGTCAGAGCACCTGATAGGCATGACGCAGGCATTTGCCGTTGTCGGCTAAGCAGTCTTTGGTTCTGGCTTTGTGACAGTATGCTACAGCGGGCCATGAGACGTGATAGTGAAGATGCACTGCTCAGGCATGATCATCGACTCTGGATGCGAGCGGCTTGCTCTCTTTTCAGGACCCAGAGAGCCCAATACCCCTTAATTAAGGACTGTAGCTTAAATCATAATATGAAGCCCTATATAATTTAAGCCATATTCCTTAATTAAGGAGTATTGGGCTCTCTGGGGAGCTGGGTTTCGGATCCAAGCCCCACGATACCTGCGCCCGAAGCCTTCAGATCTGGGCGTTAGCAAGTTCCTGATTACACTGGTACAGTCATCCTTTTGAAGCGCCTTGTCTGAGTCAGCTGATTCTTTCCGACCGTCGCAGTTTCGAAGCGAGTTCGTTCGGTTTTACCACAAATCCTCAAATCCATCTGAATTTTGACCACCTACCTGGATCTGATCACTTTCCTCACATGCTCACGTCGCGTCTCGAGCTGCAGATGTCCATCTTCTTGTGGCTAGCGGAGATCTTGTCAAGCAGATCCTACAAACTTGCAAAGCTTTGATAAAGCCACCCTAAGCCTAAGGCCTAACCTATACGGCCCTATACCCTACTCAAACCCTGAAGCTTGTCAACAGTGCCACACTTCGGAAGCCCAGGTTGGATGTCCGATGGGTGAAAGCCCAGGAGTGAGTTTTCTCGGCGGGCAGAAAAGCCGTGTGCCCCAAACCGGAATTGTGCAGGGTTTAGGGTTTAGGGTTTGGGTGTTTCTGTAGGTTTGGGTTGGGAGGGTTTCGGTGTCGGGAGAGGGTTGAAGTCTTCTTGGTGATGAGGTTCCGTGGTTCAAGGGCGGGGGCTCGGCAAGCCATGCTGCGAAGGCAATATACTTGAAGGCTCATGAGACTTAGTAAGTAAGGTTATAAGTAGCTTATAATTAGGATAACCCCACTTAGGGGACTTGTAACCCCAATTATAACCTACTTACAAAGTCCCATGATCCTCCAAGTACCTGTTGGACTGCACAGCGTCTCGAGCCCACGGAAGCCAGGCCGGCATTTACCGGAAGCTCATCGCCAGAGTGGCAAAGTAAGTTTTTGATATCTTTGAGAACAGACTGTGGTTGAATGCCTGCGCCCTGGTTCGGATGTTGGCATTGGCGCCTTGCTCCTGGCCTTTCCCGAGGCCCAAGCCTTTTGTATCCAAGATATCACATCGTTGTGTGACATGAATGGTAAGCACAAGCCACATAGAAGTAAGAAGAAGACCCTCCACTAACCCGGACATTCCAGTTTAGTTCCAAAACAGCTGTGAACCGTACCTGCCCTACCTTCCAAACCCGACACAACACTAAGGTCCCTGGGGCACAGGAGTTAGCACTGCATATTCCCCTCCCACCTCGAGCCCTTTACAAGTCCATCGCGCCAATTTTTTTTCAGCGTTTTCTGAGTGAATCCTCGAAGATCTGCAGTTTCTCGTGTCGTCGAAGCCTCGGCCGCCATGGTGGAAGAGATCACCTTTCAGAATGTGCGCTGCGTCGGTCAGGCAGCGCGGTGAGCATAACTTAGGTGTTCTCAGGTGTCAGGTTTTGGGATTGTCCATGTGAAGTTTCAGAGAACACGGGACAAATATAACACTACAGAAACGAAAAATGTAGGATCCTCAACACTCAGACCCCCCCAAAAAGGAATTCAGCGTAAACTCCAAAAGACTGCTTGGCCCTCATGGGACGCGGCACATGTTTGAGAAAATGGTGATCTGCTGCTCGAACATATCAGCAACTAGCCTTCTGTAGTCCGTCGGACACCCACCCTCAACCCTCAACCCTAAACCCTAAACCTTGCAGAACCCTAAGCCCTAAGCTCTAACCCAAAGCCCTAGACCAAAATTGTCTGTTGAGAGCCTGTGTTCCGCGGTTGCAGGGGCAAAAAACTCCATCCATCTATTGTTTGGCGCACTTTTGGGGGATGCAGATTCTCCGATGCGGTGTCGGCATCCAGAGCTTCAGGTTGGAGAGAAGCCTTCCGAAAACCCTCAACCCCTCAACCCCTGAACCCCTAGAACCCTAAACCCTTGAATCCCTAACCCCCAAAACCCCCAAAACCCTGAGTCAACAAACCTTAAACCCTAAAAGACAGCCGGAAAGATGAACAAATCTTCCCTATAGCCTCGAGGCTGGACGCGGCGCATTCCGCCTCGACGAGCGGCAGTGCCCTGGCTACTTTCTTCCACCTTTAAGCACACTTCCTCGAACTCCCTGTGCTTTAGATCAAGCTGGAACCTCGATGCTACCTGCTAAAGGGATCGTATAAGGGTTCTTTAAGTTACTTAGAGGATCATGGGACTTAGTAAGTGGGTTATAATTGGGGTTATATGTCTCCTATCTGGGGTTATCCTAATTATAACCTACTTATAACCTTACTTACTAAGTCCCATGAGCCTTTAAGTACCTTAACCCACCAAACTTTAGTTTTTTTTTAAATGGGTACCTGTTAGAAACCTTAAAATGGCATTTACGACCCTACAACAAAAGTAGGTTCTGGTGGGTTAAAGCAAACCCTAAAGAATGAGCCTCTTAAAACTTTGATATCACATTGACATGGCTATACTTTGCGACCGCCGTCGTTGTTCTGACCGTTCCAAACAGGTTGTCGTCTGAAGGCCGAGCTACATTATTCTCTGCTGTTAGACCGTCATCTTATCGGATTGTTCGGTATTTCATACTCGCTGTACTCTTACCGTACTGTTATACGGTTGTTATGTTTTGAAAATGAAACCATGTTAACGATTAATGCTAATCACATGGTTGGCAGTACCGACTCTCCCGGGGTGGCTGACCCGACCCCCGGGAGGATCTAGAAAGTAGATCCCCTAATTTGGGGCCCTATACTAAGTGTACTTTATAGGAACCCCCCATTAAGGGATCTACTTTTTGGATTCCTCCCCAAAGCCTTAAACCCTAAACCCTAAAACCCTATAGATCCCTTAAAGGGGCCCTTAAAGGAACCCTTTAAAAAGAACCTATTATTGAGGGATCTACTTTTTGGATCCTTCCGGGGGTCTCGGGAGCGGCTACCGACTGTGATGGACAGAAGCCTTCACCCACGGACCTTCGAAACCCATACCCACCTACATGTGGGTAGTTGTCAAAATTATGAGAGGCATCTACAGCAAATAATATGGGTTCTTGATAGTGGTAACTTAAATTGGGTGGTTGTCAAGATTAGGGTCCCTTTTTGGGTACCCTAAATATTAGGTGCAGTGCTATAATCAGGACCTAAAAAAAGGACCCTAATTTTGACGATCCACCCACAGGTCTTGAGGCTGAACTCCAAGGCCCAAAAGACCCGCCCCTGATGAAAACCCGAATCTAACCTTGAGCCCTACTTAGTGGATCATGGGACTTAGTAAGTAGGTTATAGTTGGGGTTATAAGTCCCCTAACTCGGGTTAGCCTAATTAAAACCTACTTACAACTTTACTTACTAAGTCCCATGAGCCTGCAAGTAAACCCTAAATCCCAAACCACTCTAAACCCAAAGCCCTAGAACCCAAAACCCTAAAACCCTGGACCCAAAGCCCTAGACCCAAAAGCCCTTTAAAACCCTGGACCCTAAACCCTAGGCAACAACCCGAAGCCGAAAGCCCCAAGTTACTTTAAACCCAAAGCCCTAAGCCACAAAACCCTGGACCCTAAATTCCTAAACTATAAACCTTAAACTCTAAACCCTAACCCCCCCCCAAAAAAAAAACCTGAACACTAAACCATAAAACCTCTGGCCCGAATCTCATGCCAGACTGGGCTGGAAGCGCGTCTCGGGACAGGGACAGGACTCTCAAAAGCCTCTCGGCTCCGCTCATGCAGGGTTTTCTTAAGTATATAAACTTGTAAAACACGACTATTATGCTACCATTAAGCTTGTGATACTACAGGGGGCTCTGCTGGATGTTGTCGGGGTTTGCTTGAACCTAGAGTTGTTTTATGAAGTTGTCCTTATAACTCTAACCCTTAAACCCACCCGAAACCCTAAACCGGAACCCCCAAACAAGGAATCCTAGTGGGCTCTGTCGTACGTATCTCGAGCTTCTCGGTGTTGAGGCTTTCTGGGTCCCACTTGGGATCGCCTTTAGGGTACTTACTGCGAGGTTCCTGAGTCAAACCCTGTTGCCTTTTTTATTTAGGGGTCTCCTTATTGAAACAGAAAATTGGGAAAAAGGGTACTCTTATGATTAAGGGGTTGCTGCGGAACCTAGATGATAGGTCTTCCTTTCTACCTACTGAGTCCCCTGACCCTCCAAGCAGAGAGCTCAAGACCCCTTGATTCAGGAATGTGCGTTGTTTGTTAAGGGGAATTCATGTATATGCACTGTGTTGTAAGTGGAATTCAGGAATATACTTTGTTTTACAATATACAATATGATTTAAACTATATCGTGAAGGGTTGCGAATCGAGAGTTCGCACTTTGCTAGGCTTCCTCTTCGATCGCGAAAGGAGTTTAGGCTGGCTTTGAGGCTTTCCATTTTCTTCAGACGGCTAATCGTTGGTCGTACTGTTCAGGTGCCGCACTGTTTAATCCCGAAACGTTACCGAAGAGCAGTGTGATTTTGTTCGTTTCAAGATCCAGATATAGACGTGCTATATCTGAACGACGACTCGGAGGCTACAAAACACACCCGCCTCAGCTCTAGACCTTGCGAAAACGGTCCCAAAGCTCCGTGTGGTATGCACACAAGTTTTGCTCAAACCTTAAACCACAAACGCCCCGACTCTGAATGCTGAGACCGAAATATTCTTGTAATGTCTATTGGAGTCTGAGGTGTTGTATCCAGGGTCCTGCTTTAGTTCTCCACGCGCGTAAAACTCCTTGGGAATCTGTCGCCATATGTATTGGCAGAGAGAGAGAGAGAGAGAGAGAGAGAGAGAGAGATAGAAGCTTTGTTTTCCGTATAGACACTTAAGTACCCTTATAGTATCATGGTCGATCCGTGCGCTATACTCATTGTACTCTTATGCTGGTTCGAGAGTCGGCTCTTTTCAACACTCGTGCTGCGACATTTCGTAGCAAGAACTCAACCCTCAACCCTAAACCCTCAACCCTCAACCCTAAACCCTCAACCCTCAACCCTAAACCGGAACCCAAAGCCGAAGCACACCGCTCCTGGCAGGCAGCCGATGCAGTGGGCAGGGGATCCTGGTCCGAGGGCTTCGGGTTTAGGTTGAGGGCTTAGGGTTTAGGGTTGAGGGTTTTAGGGTTTTAGGGTTGAGGGTTTAGGGTTGAGGGTTGAGGGTTTTAGGGTTGTTGTGGTTTTGGTGTGTCCTGCGCAACCCGAAATTGAGCATTGCCTGGGCCGCGGAGGCCCATGTCATACCTTACAGGAGCCTTACAGTACCTTTATAGTCCCTTATGGAACACCCTTATAGCACCCAAAAGTGCCCATGTTGTCCCTCACAGTAAGATTTAACAATACCTTAAACCCTTAACCCTAAACTAGACCTTTAGTAAACCGAGAGAACCGAGAGCCCAATACCCCTTAACTAAGGGAGATGCCTTAGGACATAAGAGGCTTCATATTATGATTTAAGCTGTGCTCCCTCTACAAAGCAGGACTCAACCCTTATAAAGGAGCCCTAGCTGAAGCTCTATTCCTTAATTAAGGGGGTGTTGGGTCCCTCTGGGCCTCGGCTCTCCGTTCTTCCCAGAGACTCTAACATCCCTGAATTCAGGAATATACCTTAAACCATTTTAGGGATCCTACTATAATTTAAGGTATATTCCTTAATTAAGGGATATTAGACTCCCCTAAACCCTAAACCCTATACATCCCTTAAAGCATCCCTTAAAGGAGCCCTAGGTCCCTAGGTATTCTTTAATTAAGGGATATTGGAGTCTCTGGGTTCGCTTCGGCGAGAAAACCGAGGCCGGCTCGGGCCTGACGCAGGCCGAGTGGTCGGCAACGGCGGGCGGAGGACCGGGTACCCAGAGACTCCAATATCCCTTTAATGAAGGAGTAGCTAGGGTTAGGGTTAGGGTTCCTTTAAGGGATCTATGGGGCATAGGGTGAAGGGGACTCCAAAAACCCTGAATTAAGGAATATTCCTTAAATTATGGTAGGATCCCTACTGTAATTTAAGGTACATTCCTTAATTGAGGGATATTGGAGTCTCAGGGTACTACAGGGGTTATGCCTTAAGGGTAGGACAAGGGAGACCGTAAGGGTGCTATCATGGTTCTACGTTAGTACTTCAGCGGGGCTTGGAGGGTCGGGGGGACGTAGTAAGAAGTGACTTCAGAGACTCGCAAGTACCACATTCCCAATCAGAATCCCTTTTGGGGTAATCATTTGTAAGTCTACTCCTTAAACCCTAAACCCTAAACCCTAAACCCTAAACCCTAAACCCTATACTATCTACCTACTTGACAAGACCGCCGAGCCTCCAAGTAGTTTGGGTTGCAGGGGTCACCCCCGAGACTCCCCATAAGGATACTGTCATGGGTCTATGAGGGTTCTATACGTGTACCATACAGGACCGTAAGGGTACTATAGATACTATAGTGTCAGTCTGCGGGTCTAGAAAGAACTGTAGGGGTACTGAATAGGTACCAGAAGGGTACCACCCTGAAGACAAATCAAGCTTTCGAGATGTATGATGAGCGTCTGCTGGTGTTTCGGAGTGTTCATGCAATCTTTTCGGAGTTGAGCTTGCCCCAACATAGAGGGTTTCGGCATTTACAGCTTCGACTCGTTTTTTCAGGCTGAATCTTTGGGTGTGTATGTCAAGACAGTGTTGTCGAGTTTGAGGTAGACAAGTCCAGTCTTTCGTTGCTCTACTTTTCCAACCGGCGATTGTTAAGCATTTCCTTTGACTGATCAATCTGCGGAGGTTTGTGGGTATTCTGACAACTTTTTTGCGCCTTAGCTTAGCACAGCAGGTATCCGAGTCTGAGTAGAACTCGCTTGCTGAGGGCCTCCCCAATCTCTCAGAGACTCCGACGTGCTTACAGGGAGAGAGTGAGCTTCCATCCGGCGAGTTCTTGAACCTCTGGAAAAACCCATGAAATCTTTCAGAACCCTCTCGTAGAACCCTTACCAAAGACCCAGTTAGAGCGTTTCGGAACCCTGACTGAGAGAGCCTTCATCAAAGGGTTGCTACGGTTGATGATATAAATCCTGCAGTACCCATAGTAAGGAATATACCATAATTCCCATAGTTTAGGGTCCTTAAGGTAATCCAGGATTTTTTTATCATAACCCTAGACCCTAAACCCTCTTAAGCCCTAAAACCCTATAGATCCCTTAAAGGAGCCCCTTACAGGTACCCCTATAGATCCCTTATATCATCAACCTCCCTTTGGTAATTGGGAGTTTCCAAATATAGGGGACCCTAATTTAAAACTGTACCGCAAATAGTCGGAGCTTTATTATAAGGACCCCAAAACAAGATATCCCCAGTATGCAGGACATGGTATCCTGAAGCTGCACTTCGGAGCAGCTCGGGCCCCGGGGAGCCGGAGACTGGGGCTCCAGCTCAGCCTGGGGTTCCTTTCAGGGTTCTTTTAAGGGTTCCTTTAAGGGTTCCTAAAAAGGGATCCATAAGGGCTCTATAAGAGGGGTTTTAGGGATACTGTCCCGGTGTCTGAAGGGTTGAATTTAGGGGCCTTAAAAATTAGAATAGGGTTTGGGGGGGTTCCTTCTGTAGTACTAATTATAATACTAATATACCGCCAAACCCTGTTCAAATTATCTAATGGTTTAGTGTGTCCCTATATGAGTGTTTAAGGTTTCGGTGTATCTGAACCCTTGATCTCGCTGTCCTCTGCGTCTTTCTTTCGCCTTCCTCTGAGCCCGCAGCCCCAAACGCTAGCCAGAGGCTGTTCCCATAAAAACTGAATCAAAACTACAAAGAGGCCCTGGACCTTAAGCCCCAAAAACCCTCCACACCCTAAACTTACCTTTGGTTAGTAGGGAATGGAGGAATGGGGTACAATTATAACAACTATTACTACCATTCTTCCATTCCCTACTAACCAAAACTAACCCCTATGGTAGTTATAGTAGCCCTTATAGACCCCTTTAAAGGAACCTTATTCTAATTCCCTACTAACCAAAGGTAAGTAAAGCAGAAGAAGCCCCCCCAAAGCCGACCGTGATCCAGGACATCGTCCGCTTCGCAGACCTGGAGCCCAGCTCTTTTCAGAAGCTCAAGGCGCGTGTCTTGTGGGACGACGGCCGGCATACTTGGAGGGTCGGGGGACTTAGGAAGTAGGAAGTAGATAATAAGTAGACCTATAAGTACCCTGAAAGGGTTCCTAATTGCGCTTATGATACTTATAAGTCTACTTATTATCTGCTTACTATGTCCCCCGACCCTCCAAGTAGGTCCAGGGGCTTGTTAAACCTAAGCCCAAAGCTTTACGACCCTGAAACCTTAATGCTAAACCTTAGAGACCCTAGACCCGTGGAGTTTCGGGGTTTAGTGTTGCAGGTTCGCTCTAACGCATATACTAGGATCCTCCTCATGAGGATCGTTCGTGAGAGACCGAACTGCCTGCCAATCCTACCATGATCATTGCCGTTGTGCTTCATGTGATCGCTCTCCTTGTTGTCTTTGTTATCGTTCTGATTTGTAGAGTTTCTGATCACCATTGTCGATCTTGGTGATCCCGATTATGCTTGATGAAGAAGGTATCTCTGCTTCTTACCCATGGCGTTCTAGATGTCGCGACAACTACCACTGTCAATATTCTTGGGCTTGGGCTCGTCCTGACGGTTCAGGTCGTGCACATCACCAACATCCCTACCGTGCCTCTGTTCCTTCTCATTGCTCTCAGTTTTAGTAAACCCTGAATTGTAAACACGTTGTAACTGGGGTTACAAGTCCCCCATGTGGGGTTATCCTAGTTACAACCTACTTATAGCCTTACTTACCAAGTCCTTTGAGCCTTTAAGTGAACCCTAGACCCTTAAATTGAAACCTATGATATAACCCTATGGTACTCAAAAGGAACCCTGAACCTTACTTAGTAGACACGAAACTCTTAAAGGGAACCCGCTTATGGACCCCCATAGCACCCGTAAAAGGAACCCTAAACCCTACTAAGTCCCATGAGCCTTTTAGTAGACACGAAACTCTAACACCGAAGTCTCGAGACCTGCCATAGAAAAGGAGGTAAAAAAAGGCCCAACGCCGGTTTGGGGTTTAGGGTGTAGGGTTTAGGGGTTTAGGGTTTTGGGGTTTAGGGTTTAGGGCTTGTATACCCTTTCGAAAGAAACTCAATTGGGAGTCCGAAAATTAGGGGTACCTTATTCTGGAGTCCTTATAACAAGGATCCTACTATTCAAGGTACTATGATAGGGTCCTCTAATTTTCGGAAACTTCCAATTGAAGCTCCGATGATGACAGGAACATCTGAAGGAGTGCTTCAAGGTTCAGCTTGAGGAGCAGAAGCCATCCTCGGTGGGCCGGGACCCTGTGCGTTCTCGGACGGCTTGGGGGTATATACAGAAATACATATGTACATCTGTACATATATACGTACATACATATATACATATATACATATAGACATATATACATATAGACATATATACATATAGACATATATACATATATACATATACACATATATACATATTTGCATATGTACATATAGACATATATACATGTATTCATATACACACATATACACATATATGCATGCATATATGCATGCATATATGCATACATACATGCATGCATACATACATACATACATGTGTATATATATATATATATACATACAAATACATAGACATAGACATAAAAAATACATACATGCATGCATGCATACATATATTGCGCTGTATGTGTAAAGATGGCTTTCTCAAATCTGCACGGGCCCCCTGAAGTTTCAGAAGCCGGTGATTTTTAGCCCCTTCGGAAGTTTCAAAGAAGGCAAATAGGGACATAGTGAAGGTACCCCACTGAGGGTACTTGCAATTTGTCCACTGGGCCTTCAAGTTGCTCCGAGTTGGGAGGGCATGCATCTCGAAGACCTGGCCCTGAACACCACGCTTTTCCATACTCCTGCGGTAGTTCCATCCATTCTTTCACATCCCCATCGTCCTTTTGCATGTACTCCACACCATGCCGGCAACCGCAATTTCCGAAAAATCTGGCCCCTGTTGCAAAGAATTCAGTCAAATTCTTTCGCTTTTGATCCCTAAACCCTAAACCTTAAACCGTGCTCCTTGCTGAGGTTGGTCTTGGGGCGAGCTCGAGCCCGTCTCTCAGCAGATTCCAGGTTTAGAGAGCAGCTGTCGCGCTTGCGTCTTAGACCCTAAACGCTGAGCACAAAACCCTTAAACCCTAAACCCTAGACCTTACTTATGACATGTCAATGGGAGGGGCAGTCTGGGTTTAGGGCTTGGGTCCGAAGTTGAGTCGTAGCTGTGCTGTGCTCTTTTTCCATGCTTTGGGGTTTCGCCCCCCGGACTGCGATGCCTCTTGGGGTCACGATGTTCGTTCGGTCCACGCAGATCCATCGCGCACACGCCTCTGAGAAGAGCCTTCGTGTCTAAGCTTCCTGGGGGCCGGTAATGCTGACAGGATCCAAGAAGTAGATGGGGTTCCTATCAAGTGCGCTCTTGGTAGTAGCAGATCCCGAAATTAGAGGATCTACTTTTGGATCCTTCCGGGGGTCTGGGATTTGGGTTGGCCGTGCATTGGGGATAGCCCCAAACCATGGAGCCCTGTTGGCATAGCCTGGCCTCCGAACCCGGGGATCCGCATGCAGAAGCCACTACAGAGGGCAAGCCAAGAAGCAGCAAAGGTTTGAGGCTTAGCGGTAAGCCGAGGGCACAGCCACAAGACTCAAGACCGAGTGCCGATTCCCGAAACCATCGTCATGAACCGACTTAGCTGCAACTTAACCTTGCAGTGCAGCTTTCAAGCAGTGTCCAATCTGGGTGGGATCAGTCTTTCGAAACCGGAGCACTTGCTTTTCCTGTGAGCAGCCGGGCGGACGTCCCATCCCAGCTCACCATTGAGCCGTTGCCAGCAGGCTCAATGGGGAGAAGTCCCTGCGCTTGATGAGTGGCCTCGACAACGACAGGCTTTAGCGCTTCCCTGTTTATGTGAACACAGAGTTGTGTTTATGCCGAACACTCGGCATACAGGGCTTCGTCGGGAACCATTTCATGTGACGCGGGGGCGTGCTCTTTTCTCGTTTGGGCCGGGTGTTCGGACGCTGTGGCTGCAGGCTCCCAATTGCACAGAGGCTTCAACTACTTGGAGGGTCGGGGGACTTAGTAAGTAGGTAGTAAGTAGACTTATAAGTACCCTAAAAGGGACCCTAATTGGGGTTATGGTACTTATAACTCCGTAAAATAACCAGTTACTAAGTCCCCCGACCCTCCAAGTAGCAGGCTTAGGGCGAGGTTTCGCGTTGCAGCTTTCTAGCACATTCAGACCTCGTCGTAACCATGGTCTGGTTGCTGACTGATATCCGACATACAGCATGTCTGGTTTAGGGTTTAGGGTTTAGGGTTTAGGGTTTAGGGTTTAGGGTTTAGGGTTTGTTGTCGTAAGTACCTGAACCAAGTAGGTCTTACACAAGGTGGAGGCTGATGTGGAGTTCATGATTTGACCCCCATAATCACAACCGGCGCAGGAAGTTCCCAAACACTTCAAGTAAAGTTTGAAGCCCTTTAGCTTAAACCCCAAAGCCCAACATCCCAAGCCCCGTACTCACAGTGCAAGCCTTTCACCCGGCATCCTAAACTCCTAGCCTCAAACCCCGAACCCTGAAAACATAAGCCCCAAACCGTAAACCCTGAACCCCAAACCCTAAACCCTAAACCTTGTGGCTCCTGCATAAGACTCAACGCTGCGCCAGGGCCGTTGCCTTGGAGGTTGACATGGCAGAGGTCAACCAGGCTCCGACGGTGCACTATAGAATGTGTGTGTGTGTCTATATATATATATATGTATATGTATACACATATGAATATGTGTGTGTGTATATATATATATATGTATAGGTAGGCAGGTAGATATGTGTGTGTGTGTGGGTGTGTATGAATGTCAACATTAACACATACTTACAGGTATGTGATATGTTCATTTAATCAACAGGCTATGTTTCGAAATCTTTGGCACTGAACTGACTGGCGGCTCTCGACCGGCTGCATGTCCAAGACATGGAGGTGGTCGTAAGGCCCGTGCTGCTGGACCAACACACGTCTTTGGGTTTTTGGGTCCCGAACCCTAAACCTTAAGCGCGAAAGAATGGGCTTCGAAAGTGTATCCGTGTCCACCCAGTGTTGAGCTCAGAGGGCTGGTCTTGTCTTGTTGTGAGATTTGGGGGCCCTTCGCCCTAAACCCGAGAACCCCACGGGCTTCCAGCTCTGCTGCTCGCAGGATTAGGGGTTATCAGTATTCATAGTCTTATTATGGCTATGATGACTATTATTAGCATTATGAATATTATGGTGCAGCAACTGGGGGTGACATGGTCGCCCCTCTCCGTAGTAGTCCTACGTGCGAGCTGGAGCTTTCAGTAGGAGTCGGAATATATGAATGTCCAAAATACCTCCTTATAGTGCCTATATACATACAGTATACCATAACATACAGCTGAAAACTCTCTCTAAGAAGCCGCCCCTATGTGACTCAGATCCTCTGATCCTGAAGGTAGGTCCCGACAGCCTGATGATTTCTCATCTCCTAAGCCTAAACCCCACTTAGATCATGGGACTTAGCAAGTAGGGTTCCTTAAAAGGGTTCCTTTAAGCGATCCTATAAGGGTTCTATAACGGGGAGCTTACGTTACTTAGAGGATCAGGGGACTTGGGAAGTAGGTTGTAATTGGCGCTTAGCGTTTAGGGCTTAGGGCTTGGGGTTAAGGGTTTAGGGTTTAGTAGGTTATAATTGGGGTTATAAGCCCCCTCAGTAGGGTAACCCACTTCTAGCATTACTAAGTCCCACGAGCCTTTAAGTAAACCCTAAACCTTTAAAAAACCCTAAACCCTAAACGGTAAATCCTGAAACCCCAAGCCCTCAACATTTCTCCGTTTCGAGGTGGCCTGTGCAGGCAAAAACGAGCTGAGCCTGGAGCCTTGCTGGCGAGTTTGGGCATCGATGGGCTCCCCCCAAACCCAGACTCTCATCCCCCTGAGTTAAGGAATATACCGAGGGTTCCTTTAAGGGATCTTAAGGAATATACCGAGGGTTCCTTTAAGGGATCTAGAAGTCGATAAGGGTTCCACCCTAATACGGATCCCTTTCAGGGTACAAATAACTCTACTTGTTACCTACTTACTACGCTTTCTTAACCCTCCAAGTTGTAGCCATCCTCTCAGGCCAGCATAAGAGTCATGAGGGTGCCTGTAGGGTTCGTAGTTAGGGCTGAGCGATTGCGTGATGCAAGAAGCCCCACCCACATACCGGAGACTCCAGTATCCCTTAATTACGGAATATTCCTTAAATCATATAAGGGATCCTACTACTTTCAGGTATATTCCTTGATTAAGGGATATTGGAGTCTCTGGGTAGAAGCCCACATCCAAGCCCCACGACTCAAACCTCCTGCTCCTGGCTCAAGCACACCAAAAGCATCGATTTCAGCTTGTTCAACAAAAGGAGCTTTCGCCATGTTCTGCTGTGGCAGCAAGTCTTCCGTCGAGGAACCCCAAACCCTAAAACCCAAACCCTACACCCCCTAAACCCTAAAACCCAACCCCAAACCCCAAACCCTAAACCCTAAACCTTAAAATCCTAAACCCTGAACCCTTAAACCCTAAACCCTAAACCCTTAAACCCAGAACCCTAAACCCTTAAACCCTTAAACCCTAAACCCTGAACCCTGAACCCTAAACCCTTGAGGAGCCCCAGCGCCTGACAGACTACGAGCTGGCCGCGCGGCTCCAGGCCCAGGAAGATCGCCGAGGTCGAGGCAGGGAGGCCCTTTAAAAGGGGACCCTTAGAGGATCATGGGACTTAGTAAGAAATTGTAGGATTCCTTTAAAGGGATCCTTCAAGGCATCCTATAAGGAGGAGTTTATGTTACTTAGAGGATCATGGGGCTTAGTACGGGTTAGGATTCCTTTAAAGGGCTCTTTTAAGGGATCTATTACGGGTTCCATAAGGGGGAGTTTAGGGCATGGGGCTTAGTAAGAAACCCTAGGATTCCTTTAAAGGGCTCCTTTAAGAGATCCTAGAAGGGTTGCATAAGGAGGAGGAGTTTAGGGAAAGAGTATCATGGGACTTAGTAAGTAGGTTATAACTGGCGTGAGAAGTCCCCGAAGTGGGGTTGTCCTAATTGTAACCTACCTATAACCTTACTTACTAAGTCCCATGAGCCTCGAAGTACTTCTGGTTTTCTTAAAGGACCCTATTGAGACGGCCTGAATCCCTGCCAAGCGCCCCCCTAATCCTAACTCCGAGGCCAGCGCCGACAGCCTCCCCGAGACGTGGATTGGGGCACAGGCTGGCTTACATGGGGTTTACTGAAGGGTTGCGTTAAGAAGGGGACATTTGGGGTTGCATCGGGTTTACTGTAAGGGTTACTTTAGGGGTGTTACCGTATAGGGGTTAGTTTTCAGGGGTAACTATAAGTTACTATTTGGGCAGAGGCTCGGCTGGACAGCGCCTGGGTGGTGCGGCAGCGCCCCAGCAAGACAGGCGGCAGCTGCTGGCGGAAGCCGCACAGCGACCAGGTTCCTCAGTAGTACTCTTTTGCCCTTTTTCCTGTTGGCTTCCCCAAAATACCGAGCAGTCGGAGACAGGGTATCCCTATCATGTAGGGGCTACTGGAGAACCTAGGCGACGCCAGCTTGCTCCGAATGGAATCTCGAAGGCTCGTGCTGCTGAGCTCTCCGCAGAGCAGCAGAAAGCGGAGCTTATCGGGCGCCTGACGGAGCAGTACCGTAGGTTGGGCGAAGACATGCCTATGGGCCTGAAGCTGGGCTCTGTGGAGCAGCTGAAGAAGCACCTGGAGATGCTGAGAAGCCGCGAGCGCTAGCCGCTAGCAGCTCGAAGTGGCAAGAAAGGGCCGATAGGGGTCTGTAAAGAGTTATTTTTTGCCCCGAATGTATAGCTGGGCGGTATGAAGGTGCTGCCCATCAATTTGCTGCTTATGTACAGGTCGTGTACAGGGCTTGTGCCCAGCTTTTGAATTCTGGCTCGGGAATCAGATCCGTAGCCACGTTGGGCGCTGAAGCCATCACTGTAAGGATGTGCACAGGATTCAGAATTTGCTTCACATTGCCAGCTTTGGCGAGCCAGACAAAAAGCAGCATTCGACGTGCTGAATTGTTCTGCTGGTAGCTTGCTTGAGTCGTTGTTGTGTTTTTTTTGAAGAGGCCGTGGAGGACAGCTGCTGAAGGATACACGGCTCGGTTTGAGGTCGTTCTAGATTAAAGGGAACTCCAGAAAGTTGGAATATGGAATAATGGCAGGATCCCCTATATTTTACCTTAAAGGGACTATGATAATGATATTCCAACTTTCTGACTTCTACTGCCCAGAGACTCCAATATCCCTTAATTAAGGAATATACCTTAAATTATATTAGGGATCCTACCATAATTTAAGGAATATTCCTTAATTAAGGGATATTGGAGTCTCTGGGTGTAGGCGCCCTCCCTAAGCCTGATCTGATCGAATGTCGCGGCTCTTGCCTGCCCTCGCTCGCCAGGCTCCAGAATCGACCAGACGAGGCGTGGCCTTACTTTTGTTTACTTCGCTGAACACGTGCTTTTTCTTTCTGCATTTGGGTATATTGCTTTGAATGCATTCTTGCTTTCTGTGGCTATCCGCAATAAACTTGAGCACAAGGAGGGATGGGAGCTTTGTTACAGGTCCGCTATTTCAGCGTGTTTCTGGGTTCTAGATTTGCACTTGTCGCATGCGAAAGCTTAAACATGAGATGCTTCTGAAATGTCCCCTTCTTGTATTGGTAGCAAGCTGTAGCCGCAGGTTCTCATTAAATATGAACCAGAGAGTGCGCGTGTTGCCTCGTGCTGCGCATACGGCCGGGATTCGTGTCCAAATTAACCGTCTTCGTTTCCGGCATCGGTCGTTCAAGAGACATCGTCATTAGAGAGTCTTGTTCGGTGCCTTTGCATCTTCTAGCTTGCAGGGCGATTTATTGACGTACTGCAGATTAAGAATGGTGTTTCCGAAAACAGGGGACCCTATTATAGTACCCTAAATGGCACCCCAAAAAAGGTACCCCTTATTTTCGGAAACCCCCAACTAGGTCCCTAGATCTTCTGCTACCCGCTTTTTATTTTGCAGGCTTGGTTCAGAAGCAGCGATCTTTTGTTGTTTTGGGGCCTTGGGTTCTTAAACTGTCGAAAGCTTCAGCTCAGAACCCTAAAGCAAGTCCCAAGCCCTAAACCCGAAGACCCTAAGACCCTAAACCCTAAACCCCCCAAACCCCCTAAACGCCCTCAACCCCCCAAACCCCCCAAACCCCCTAAACCACCTGAACCCGCCTACACCCATCTGAGCCCCCCAACCGCCCGAAGCCCTGCGAGATGCTCCAGTGCATCCGATTCTTCGTGCCATCCGGCCATGGCCCCTGCTGGAGATCTGTGGGCTGCGGTTGAGAACGGAGGAGTCTGAAGAATAGGTATCAATATCCCCCCTCATGTAGTTGCCTGTGTAGGTTTGCTGTGGTGATACGATATTAAATGCACCAACAGTCTACTCGGATTATCTAGGCCTTCGCACCAGCACCCCTGCTTCCCTGCTGATGGGTAGTGGGGGTGCTTTCTGCCAGTAGGTTTTGACCCCTGCTTCCCGGTTGCTGCTGCAAAAGCAGGAGTTTGCTGAGGGCTAGTGGCATGCTTTCTGCTAGAAGTACTTCGGGTTTGAGGCTTAAAGGTATGGGGCTTACGTGGTTTGAACATTGTTATCATCGTGATGGCTGTTGCTGTTAACCACTGATCAGTCTTATCGTTGTTGCTCTTGTGGTTTGCAACGCCATACCTTAGAAGCTGCCCCCACCCTGTAATAGTGGTATAATAGGAATATAATAGGGCCCTAATAGAAACCTTATAGTCACTATTACAGGGTGGGGCCAGCTTCTAACCCAAGCCCGAACTCCGAAACCAAAAACTTTAAGCTCAAAAACTTCAACCCAAACGCCGAAACCTTTGTTAGTCCACTACTAATACTAATACTACTATTAATACTAATACTAGTATTTTTGCTAATACTAATATTAGTACTAATACTAACAGTAATACTAATACTATTATTAATGCTAGTACTAGAATTCGAGGCGAGGGTGGTGGCTCTGCGGAGAGCTGGCGAGACGAGCTTTCCAGGCCGCTGATTTTTCCGGGTTTTGAAGATTGGGAGTTTCTAGGGGGTACCTTATTGTGGGGTCCTTATAATCAGGATCCTACTAACTATTTAGGATACTATATTAGGGTCCCCGAGTTTCGGAAACTCGCATTTATTCGTTTAGGGGTCCTTTTGAAGGTTACTCTAAGGGCTATATCAAGGGTTCTATGAGAGTTTCAGGGTGGTTTGGAGCATGTGGGTACAAAAATAATCATTATAGTAATCATCATAAAAAAATATAAAAAGCACATTACAAATATCGGTTTCACAGCGTGTCCTGCCAAGGCCCAGCGCACCAAGCAAGCTTTGAAGATCATGCCTCCGAGAGTCTGTTCCGTGGTACTGGGCTATCTGGGATAGCCGTTTCTTGACAGTAAACGCATACTAAATGTATTTTTCCAGCGGGGAGAGGGCTCGAGGTTCATACCCCAAGGAGGGGGGGTTTTCCAGACAGAAGCCTGAGTTGAAGCCATACGAGCCGCGGAGGCTCTTGAACCGAGCAGGCCCGAACACTCAGGAAAGCTTTCGGGGTAGCAGCCCGGAACTAGACCAACGAGCTTTGGTGACTTAAGCTGTAATCCTGACTCTAGACTGGTACGTCATATATATATATATATATAAAGCTATTGATATGTATTTGTTAGATTGCATGGATGTACGTATGCATGAATGTATGAAGGTATGAATGATTGGTTGAAGGAGTGAACGAATGAGTGTATGTATACATGTCAATACAGATAGATAAACAGATGGGTGGATACGCAGGGAGACAGATAGTTAGGTTGAGTTAGATCGATAAATGATTGTATAGACAGATAGATAGACAGACAGGATCGGTAGATAAACAGACAGACAGACGGACAGGCGGGCACGCAGACAGGCAGGCAGGTGCAGGTAGTCACGCAGGTAGTCAGATCGACAGATAGACAGACAGACAAATAAACAATTGGTCAGCCAGATAGATATTAGTAGGATAGATAGGATCAGGTAGGACTTCGACACTGGGACAACTTGGGTTTGAACTCTGAAGTCTTGGGAGGCTGGCGAAGACCTCAGATGGGCAAGTGCTGGCGCATCTGCAGGAGCGCTGCTTAGGGTGCGGATTCGGACCATGATCATGCTCAGGATTTGAGGCTTGGAGGTGTCGGGTATTGGCAAGTAAGAAATTTTCTTACTTGCTTTTATGCATCAGTGTTCCTTGCTTTGACGGTTTTTCGGAATTCAGGAGGGCATTGTCTCCGGATATCTTGTAAGGATTCTTAAGAGAACACCAAAGGAAAAGCTGCAAGGCAGCAGCTGTCGAGGCGCTGAGGCTTCAAGCAACCCCTGAACTTAGGTAGCTGAGTGGATGCACTTTACACTTTTGGGATAATATTACCCAATATGAAACTAAAGATGTACACTTTTGGGGCTTATGAACTCAGCAACTAAGTGAATGCTCTAGACCACATCCGCCGATCCTAGAAGCCCCGAGCGAAGGCAGCAACAGTCGCGGCAATAGTACTACTGTTACTACTGGTATCTACAGGCTCATGGGTCTTAGTAAGTGGCTTATGATTGGGGGCACAAGCTCCCAAACTGCTGTTATCCTAACTATAACCTTACTTACAACCTTGCAGACTAAGCACCATGAGCCTGTAAGTAGTGGTCGTGGCAGTAGAAGCGGCAGTTGCAGTGCGAGTGGCATTGCGAGTGTGAGTGGCAGCGGGGTGGCGGGAGTGCAATAGGAGAGGTAAGGACAGGGGTAGGGGTAGAGGTAGTGGCAGTGGTAGTCCTCCATGGTGGTGGTGGTGCTGGTGCTGGGGGTAGTGGAGGTATGCAACAGCGCAGCAGTAGCAGCGGTGAAACTATGGTACTATTGTTGATGGACAATTCATGAATGACCCTAAGGACTCTAAACTATGGGAACTATTATGGTATGTTCCGTATAATGGGTAATGCGGGATTTTGTCCATCAACAGTAGTGAGACTCATGGTAATGGCACATAGCTTCACCAACATCCTCCGAACCCCGAGATGCCGACACCCATAAAACCCTGACCCAAAAGCTCCAAAGCATAACCCTTGTACCCCGAAACTCTAAGCCCGACACCCCGAAGCATCAATCCCTAAAGCTCAACACTCTCCCCTACTATAGGGGCCTGAATAATTATAGGTAATGGGTTCATCAATCCCTAAAGCTCAACACTCTCCCCTGCTATAGGGGCCTGAATAATGATAGGTAATGGCCTCCAAAACCCCATTCTAATTGTTGAGGCCCTTGTATTAAAGAACCCTACCATAGATCCCTCCTTATACATCCCTTTTGAAGGAACCCTTTACGTAAAGGAGCCCTATTCTAACTATCGAGGCCCCTACATTCTCATCCTAAAGGCCGAAGCATTTTTGGAGATTCTGTGAAGGATGTGACCATCGTGGCACCGAGAGGGAAGCATGAGCTGGCCTCAGAGACTCAGAGAGCCCAATGACGCCTTAATTCAGGAATACCTAGGGTCCCTTTAAGGGATCTATAAGGGATCTGCAGGTTTAGGGTTTAGGGGATCCTACTGCCCCCTCAACAAAGGAATATGGCTTAATTTATAGAGGGCTTCATATTATGATTTAAGCTATATTCCTGAATTAAGGGGTCTTGGGCTCTCTGGGGGAACAGAGCAGCCGAGTTTCAGCTTTCGATGCGTCTTGGAGCAAGGATCTAGGATTGAGATTTCGGGGTTTAGAGGTTTGAGGTGTTAGAAGATTTTTAGAAAAGGATGCGGTAGTAGGGCCACGGCTGCAGCTCGAGCTGCGGCTGCGGCCGCGGCTGCAACTGCAACTGGGGACTGCCCCTGCGACTGCCCATGGAGAGCATGAAGACGATTGTTGACGGCTCGCGAGTTCAGGAATGATGGCTCAAGGTTCAGGGCTATGTTCACGGTAGCTGATGGGGAAGTTGCTTTCTGCGGAGATGCTCCGGCCAGGCAGTATGTTGTCTCTTTTTGGGTTTGGGGTCCAGGGTTTGGGGGGAAGGGGTCTGCTGTCCTAGGTCGGCTTCCCAGAGAGCCCAATACGCCTTAATTAAGGAATATAGCTTAAATCATAGTAGGATCCCCAATGTGATTTAACGCATATTCCTTTATTAAGGGATACTGGGCTCTCTGGGTTCGCAATTCTCTCAGGATTTGTTCTTCAATGCGAAGTCTCTGCAGGCTGAGCCCCGGGTGTCTGCCGGTTTCCATGCTGGTTGCGATTTCTGCTTCTCGGGTTGTCAAAGTTAGGGTCCCTTCTTGGGTCCCTATCATATTACGGCACCGAATACTTAGGGTTGTGATTCACCCGAAACCCTAGACCCTAGACACTGCCACAAGCCAGTTTCGAAACATGATAG